GGCTTACAGGCCTGTTTCCCAAGGTACTTCTGGGTGGGCTTGAACTTCCAACCTTTTGGCTAGTAGTCTAATACTTAACCAATTTTGCCACCCAAGAACAACTCCGACCCAAAGTTAATGCTACCTACTTAAAAAAAAAGTCTATGAAGGAGAAAAGAGGAAGTGAAGGTGCAGCAGGGGTAAGGGTGGGGTGACTGGGCCTTTTTTGGCACCTTCCTCTGCTGCTCACCCACTCTGCCATAAAAAAAATTTTTTTAAGTGATCTTTAAAACTTTTTTTTTTCTATCTACACAGGCAAAGTGAAAGGAGAATTAGCAACCATCTAAGATGTTTAATATGGACTTTGTATCTGTCAGGTCCTAAACACATGTAGCTTTTCTCTCCCTCCTCCCGGCCTTCTCGTTACTATCGCAGCTCTCTCCATGCCCTGCTTCCCTTCGTCCACACTGGTGGGTTTCCCTCACGATTACTGTCACCAAAAGAGCACACCACAGTTCAACGGAAAGGCCAAATTAAATTAGGGGGCTCATTTATGACAGGAATGTGTCTCAATACAAACCAGTGTTTTCCTTTGTAGATTCAGTGACATTTGAAAGGTTCAAAGGATGCACACCAATCCCAGGATAAAGCAAACCTGCCTGCATGAATGCTCAGCTCCAAAAGAGCTAATCCTAAGTAAAGGGGGGCTCCTGGGCTGAGATGGAACAAAGCCTCTGGTTAATGTAGAGAAAGGCGGTCTTTATTTGATGGAACATGGACTTTCAGATTAGAGAGAGCAGGGATTCAAATCTGGCTCTGCAAGGGACATATTCCAGGATTTAGACAAGTGGTTAATTTCTCCGAGCCTCAGCTTTGCCACCAGAAAAGTCAGAATCATCATCCTTCCGCAGGGGCGTGAACCCTTGATGGGAACTTATGAAAAGAGTGAGACTTACACTGGCCAAGAGAAGCTGTTCTCTCTGCTCTGCCCTCCGGCTGGCGGGCGGCGAGCAGAGTCTCAGCGAGGCCGCTTGTGACAGGCGCACCTCAACACCCTCTCGTTCATTTCTTTCCCCTGGATGCAGTCCTGCCTCAAAAATCGATTTTATTTCTTTGAGAAGAAACGGACAAGAAATTCTGGGAGTTGAAAGGGTTGCTTATAAACAGAAACAATCTAAAATGGTAATATAATTATTATCTTTCTTTTAAAACCCCACATAACTTAATTTTAGCAACTATTTTGCTCCCTCTGCTAAGCCAGAGGTCACTCTTTGAACTATGGGAAATGACAGTGGACACAGGCATAGCTAATGGGGAGAATTCCCTCTGGCTCTAGAACAAAAAACCTTGTACTGTGAAGACTTAGATGATGTCCCAATCTTGGATCTGCTAGAGCATGCATCTAGGTACACAGGCCGTGAGTAGGAGGCAGAAGAGGTAGCATTACTTATGTGTATATAAAAATATATGGATATGTTTGTGTGTGTATATACACAGAAATATATGTATACACACACACACACACAGACTAAGAAATGTGGAAGTATACAGCATAGGGAATTTCCATCAGAGAAGAAGCTATTTAAACAGAAGCATTGTCCTTCTTCCTTGTCCACTCTCTGCTGACCAGGATAGATCCTACTTCACCCCAACCTGGGGACACAGGTCATGGAGAATTGGGGCCATCTCTGAAAGACTGTGGCATTGTAGAATTAGGGAAGGATCTGGTCTATTTTGCTGCCCACCAGAAGATTGGCTCCTTTGGGGATTATAAAGTAAGACTTCAAGACACTAGCAGCATGTAGGAATTGGTATTCCCCAAGTCCCTCAGAAGTATTCTCTACCGAAGGAATTGCTCTATCCAACTGCATCAACTATGTGCAGAACATCTAAATGTCAAAAATAGACCCAATGACCCAAACTGGGGCCCGACACGAGCGTGTCTTGTTAGTTACAATTAGTACAAATGAGATCAGACCATCAGTTTAGAAGACGGTATAAGTACTAGAAGCAGAATAACCATCAATTCCATTTCCCAGAATGCCTATCATGTGAGGTCACTGTGCCAAATACACTCCCAAGTATTATTTTAAATATTTGCCAAGGAAAACCATGCATTAACAAGGCTGTACTTAGTAAAAAAATATACTCTAGTAACAGTGCATTCACCAAAGTTTGAAATGAAGCACCCAACATTAGAGGACAAAAGTATGTTCTTTCCTATCTATAATATCAGACTCTATAAGAACATCCAGAGGTACGTTTACCAACTTCAGCTCTGGAAAGAAGAGAGTGTAATACAGCAGAGTGTCAGGCAGCATATGTGTGTTGAATGGCTAAATGCCATTGGTTTCAGGAGCAACAGGAGACTCGTCTCTGTGTAAGCCAGGATGGCTCTGATACAGGATCTCCGGCAGAAGTAATACTGACCCAAGAACATGACTTCTCACATCGTCACTGGTGTGCTGGCAAGTCAATTCTGAACCACGTGACTGTACAACAGACTACAGCCCTCCCAGAGCACTTCCTGGCTGATGGAAGCCGATGGCCAGGTCTTTTCATCCATATGGAACAGCTGGTGGCTTTGAACCTTTCCATTAACAGTTGAGAGCTTAACCATGGTACCATATCGGTCTTTTGTTTTCAGACCGATATTTGACATTAGCCACATCATTGAACACTTCTGAGCCCTATCGTCTTCCTCCTCCTCCTGCTCCTCCTTCTCCCGGGATTAAGTTGGAAACGTTTCTCATCACAGACCTGACAAAAGGCATTCAGCAAATGTCGGTTCTCTCTCCGGAAGTTGCATCATTTCACTCCCCGGGCTTTTCTTCTAGCTAGCGGAGGCTTGCAATGCAGTGTGCATCTCTACACTGGCCCTTACATTTCCTTCAGGATGGCTGCTGGGCGGAACTGCCACGACCACAGAAATTCTCCGTGTGCCTTAGAACGTATTTGGTGAGAGGCACATTCATACCCTCCACAGCAACGAGGGGCCAAATTCCCACATATGAAAGAAATCTGCCAGTTTCATCTAGACCATTAGCATAATTAATCTACACGTGTTTGATCTGTCCACAGTGAAGGGAGCTTTTACTACTCTTCGCTCAGAATTCCTCCCAACCCACAAAAGAGTACAGTGATCTTAATACTGAACGGCAACTGTATTTGAATTTAGACTTCTGACAAAGTTAACAAAGACTATGTAAGGAAAAAGATTAAATGATTTAAAAAAAGAGGAAAAGATTAATGATACCATCTCCTGAATTAACTCTCCAGGGCACAATAAACCAGTTGATGCTGAGTGGATTCCGACGGGGGATTATCTCATATGTGCAGAATGTAACTGCTCCATAGGAGTTTCCAGGATACAATCAATTGGAAGCAGATTACTAGGCCTGTCTCCTGAAAAGCCATTGGGTGGGGTTGAACTGCCAACCTTTAGGTTTGTGGCCAGGGACTTATCTGTTGGTGCCACTCAGGACTTCTAGGTTAATACAGCTCTTGTGATTTTCCTTGCTTGGTCATGGCTGCTGTGCAGATGCACTATGCCAACCCCGCTGTCTACAGTTCTTGGTCTCGATGTACAGGGATGAGAGTATGGGGACCTCCATGTGAAAGTAGTCTGCCTTCCCCCTCCTTAGCGGAAGAATTACCCGAGGCTCCTTAGTCCCATTTCACAAGCTTTCCTGGGTCTAGAATTTAATTACAGACTGTGAACACATCAAACATATTGACTTGGATGTCCTTGAACAGTCAGACAGGCACTTCAGATAATGCCCAAAGCCCATCTTCTGGTGACAGGTGGTGACCTGTCATTGGCTAAATCCAGAGTGTGATATTTTAAAGGCCATCTGACTAGTTGCTGTAGTCAAGACCCGATTGGATTTTTCAAGAACTTGTCTCTTTAATAAGTAAGTGGGCGCCTTCTGCATTTGCTTTCAATTCTTTCTGAAGGAAAGAGATACTCTTTGGCAGCAACAGTAGTTATCTTTCCGCCCAGCACACTGCAGGAATTTAATACGTCGTTTTTGTTTGTGGTAGAAATATAATCTTCGTGTGACTGATGAGTAAATCGTGGGTTCTACTGTTCTTTCCCACTTGATTGTTAAATCCCATTATGCTCCAAAGGGAGGGAGGTATTCATTTTGCATTTCTTTCTCTTTTTTAAAATCATTTTATTGGGGCTTGTACAATTCTTATCATAATCCATACATACATCCATTGTGTCACGCACCTATGTACATTTGTTGCCATCATCATTCTCAAAACATTTGCCTTCTACTTAAACCCTTAATATCGGCACCTCACTTTCCCCCCTCCCTTCCCAATCCCCCCTCCCTCATGAACCCTTCGTAATTCATAAATTATTATTATTTTGTCATATGTTACACTGTCCGACATCTTCCCCCACCCTCTTCTCTGCTGTCCAATCCCCAGGGAGGAGGCTATACGTAGATCCTTGGAATCAGTTCCCGCATTTCTCTTATATGACCAGAAAACTCTTTGGTTTATACATTGTGGAAAACAGTTAGTGTTTGACATCTTTGAATCATTCCCCATCCCCCCTTTTCAACCAGTCTATTTAAAAACAGGAAACCACACATCTCCACCCCAGCCACAACCCACCATCCACGAACACTCTATCAGTTTGGATCTGCAGTGTTTTTATTTCTGAGCTTGGCCAAATGCCTGCTTCTACCTTGTGGAAAGCTCTCTGAGTGCTGCCCAGGAGTTAGTGCAAAGCTCTTTCTTTTTCATCGTTATTTCATGAGCGGGCTGCAGTGCACACTCTCCCATCCCTCCCTGAGCTGTCTCCCCTGAGTCATTGCTACCATTCCTGCTCTGACTTCCCCTTCTGTGCAAAACCGTTTCAGCTGCCTCTTTTGCTTTTTCTTATCATAAACTTTGCCACCTACCACACCCTAGAAAACCAAAACAGCGAATAAACCATTGAGGGTCCCTAGCATGATTCAGAGATCCCTTATATTGCTTTGTGCCTCAGAGATCTTTCAACTTACCTTCAGTGGATCACGTCTGCCGGGGGTGCCTCTTTGTCTCTCAACTCTGACTTCTGAGTACTGGCAGTTAGAACAGGAAGGAAGTTAGTGAGAAAAAAAAATTTTTTTTAACCTACTTGAAGAGGAAACTCTGGGCTGCCTCAAATCCTGTTCTTTTGCACTGCATATCTCCAGATCAGCCAACTCTGAGCTGCATTCTTGTCAATTAATGGCATATGTGGGAACATGAATACCCATGTAAACATAGACATGCACGACTATACACGCAAAAACATTGGGCTGATAGCATGAGCATTGCTAAAAATTGTGCAGGTGTAAATAAAAATCCAGTCATTCTTGAGTCAAGTCATGTTGGTTTTCTTGATAAATTCATTGAAACAGCTTGCTTATAGATTAGTAACAATGATTCATTTGGGCGTTAGTTTGAATTAATCACCTCTGTTTCCACAGAGACCCTGAGAGTTTCTTTATCCACCAGATATGTTGAAAGCTTGCTGGTAGTGAATACTCACAAGAAATTATCAATGCTATGCTTTATATACTTGATCCTATATTAGAAAATATGTCTTCAAATAGTTTTGTGTTCTGTGAACTGTAATTTCAAGACGTGCTTCCACATTGCACAACAGAAAGATCTAGTGTGTGTTAAATGGTAGTTTTAGGTGTTGTGGAGTCAGTTCTAACTCATAGCAACCCCGAACACAACAGAATAAATCAATGTCTGGTCCTGCACCACCCTTAAAATGGTAACTATGTTTGAGCCCACTGGAGCCGCCACTGGGCCAATCCATCTCATTGAAGATCTTCTTTTTTGCTGACCCTCTGCTTTACCAAACATGATGTCCTTTGCCAAGGACTGATCTCTCCTGATAACATGTCCAAAGTCATGTAAAACTAAGCTTTGTTACCCTCAAATATAAAGAGAATTTTGTCTGTATGTGTTCCAAAACATATTTGCTTGTTCTCTGGTACTCAATGGTATTTTCAGTTTTCTTAGTCAATGCAATAATTCAAGTGTATCAATTCTCCTTCAGGCTTCTTTTCATGCCTATGAGCCGAATGAAAATACTGTGGTTTGGGTCGTTAGTCGTCAAAATGGCATCTCTGCTCTTTCGTGTTTTCAGAGATCTTTTGCAACAGATTTTCCCAATGTTGTGCGTTGCTTGGTTTTTTGCTTTTGATTTCTGCTTCCTGATTGTGGATCCAAGCAGGATGAAACCCTTGACAACCTCAATCTTTTTTCTCTTTGTCATGATGTCTATTGACCCAGTTGTGAAGATTCTTTGCTTTCTTTACATTGAATTGTGATTCCCCACGGAAGCCTCTGATAGTCTTTGACCTCCATAAGTAAGGGCTTCAGCAAGCACAGTTGCATCCAGCAAGCTTTCAGGAAGTAAGGTTGCATCATCTGCATATCATAGGTTGTAATAGTCCTTCTTTCAGTCCTTTAAAAATGTATTTTTAACAGTTTACACGATTTAATCACATACTATGTCCAACCCACATCCAATGTATTCTTTCTTTCTTTTTTAATGGTTAGTAGTGGTAACTATATTGGTTTGTTTGTCTTTGGTGAAAACCTGTAATTTACAATTAATTTGAATTAGAGATTGACTATAATATATAATTTTAGTGAATTGAGATTTTAAAAGTAGAATAGTTGTAAAGAAGTTCTAGCCAAGAAATTCCATAGTGAATATACAAGTAAAGTTAAAATTTGAAACAAAGTTTTAGCAGTAACATGCCTCCTACTGAATGTAATTCATCAGTGATAGGATAAAGTCCCAATCATATTAACAAAACTGAAAAGCAAGTTTAGTTGCAAGCTATGAATGTGCAGGGTTTAAAAATATAAATTCATAGTACTTAATGTTAATATACATATCTAACATAAGAATGATATTTTTATTAATCAGCTAATTAATAACAAAACATGAACAAGAAAACAATATAATGTACTTTGTATTGTTTGGTACTCATTTTTCAGAGGCAAAAAATGAATTTATTAATAGAATTAAGTTTGAAGCAAACATGACAGCAACACGAGATATCTAAAATAGGAGTTATTTTACCATTTTAGTTGATCAATTTATTCAGTAAAATAAGAATTAAAATAGTTATTACTGTAAATTGACGACAACCTTTAGTATGCACAAATTTCTTTTTTTTTGGAAGAAGTACACCAGGCTGTGTGGTCATGAGGTGGTCATGGGATTGGGTATCAAGCATCTACGACCCAGAACAAACCATACCCAAGGTGAATGGGGAGGCAGGGGAGGGCATGGAGTGGAGACCCAATGCCCAACTGTAGGCAATTGGATATCCCCTCACAGAGGGTCACAGGGAAGAGATGAGCCAGTCAGAGTGCAGTATAGCACCAATGTATTATTTCTATGGTAAGTACAGAGAGAGAGACAAATAGAAATGCAGCATGGCCTTGATGGTGTACATGGTTCGGCACTTCATTGTAACCAGGGGGTTGCCAGACAGACTATACCAAGAGGAAGCCATCCCAGGAGAAAGTTGTAGTTGCCTATTCCTGAAAAACCAATCATTCAACACCCAATGGAGCACAGTTCTGCAGAGCAAGACATGAGGGTATCAGGAATCCACAGTCTCTTGGGGGATTGGTTGTAGAAACTTAATACCCTGTAAATGGAGAGATGGGGAGTTACAGGTGGAGCTATCGGTGCACAAACGTGGAAATACCAGTAAAATCTCCCAAAGCAACATACGCATGCCTGGAAGAGGAACCCCCTGTGCTAGGCTTTCCTCATTACCGTTGAGAGTTTTTCTCCAGGCCAGCGCAAGTGAGAATAAGTCCTAGAGTCAGGAGCAGAATCTTCATCTTGCTTGTGTTTGTCTCTTGTCCTTTGGAGGAGACAGTAGAAGGGAACCTGGGATAGAGGTTCTATATCGTTGCCCGTTTTTATACCACTTAATATGGATGTGGCTATAAATCATGTCCCAGAAGCTATCATGTTGAAACAGCAACAATCAACATCCTGGTTGGCAATTCTTTAAGGACATTTCGTCTGCATGCAAATGACTCTCTCCTCTACTTTCTTCAAGAAGTCCAGAAGCTGGGTACTCAGAACTGTCGAGCTAATGTTTGCTCGTGATATGCACTTCCACGGACATGCACCCTTTCTTCAAAAACACACTGTTCACCCTTGTTTCCAAGATAATTTCCTTTAAAAAAATTAAATGATATTTGTATTGGCATATCTTACTCATTCCAATATACAGTGAACCTTCGCCACTTCGCGCTTCGACTTCCGCGGCTTCACTCTACCGCGGTTTTTGCGTAACAGCGCATGCTCTGTCATTACTGCCACTGATTGGCTCATACTGTACACGCTTGATGCCATAAATAATATAATAAATAATAAATGATAATTGTAACGTCCAAAATGTTTTACTGTATTTTCCCTTTTTCGTTTAATAAATTGGGTAATACGAGTGTAATGGTGACTAAAGGGTGTTTTTTCATGTCCTCTATGCTCTAACTACGAAAATATTTGATTTACAAATAAGGAATCCTACTTCGTGGAATTTCATTTATCACGGTAGGGTCTAGAACCGATTAACCGCGATAAACGAGGGTTCACTGTATTCCTTCCCTTCCTATACAGTACGGTTGTTCAATCCCATTGGGTGGGTTATATAATCACCAATGCTATCAACCCCCCTCTCCCGTCCTTGCCTCCCTCTCTCACTTCCTGTACCATCAGGGAACCTTTACTCCTGTCCCTGTCTCTGAGGGGTCATCTATCTTGACTACCATGTACTGAGTGATCTTGACTGTACAAACAAACAAACGCAAATCTAATATGATCAGTAAGGCATAACACATAAGGGCCTTAATAGTAAGGGTAGGAAATCTTGAAGAACTAGAGGATAGTTGTGTGGTTCATCAGTGCCACACTGAACTCTGGATTTATCCTCTATTCCATGAGGCCCTTCTAAGAGTGTCCATTTTTCTTCCTGGTGGACTTTGGGTCTGCACTACATCCACTCCCCTTCATGTTGACTTGGTTGTTTGTTTTTTGAACTTCTGATATCTCTTTCCATCAACACCTCCTGATCACACAGGTTGGTGTGCTTCTTCCATGTGGGATTTGTTGCTTCCCTGCTAGATGGCCACTTGTTTAACTACAAGCCTTTAAGACCCCAGGCACTATATCTTTTGATAGCCGGGCACCATCAGCTTTCTTCACCATGTTGGCTTATGCACCCATTTTGTCTTCAGCAATTGGATGAGGAAGATGGGTATCATAAAATGCCACGTTATTTGAACAAACCAATCTTGTACTGAGGTAAGTTTTAAGTAGAGGCCATCTTCTTCCTTGTTGCATTTACATATATATACAAATACAAACATATTTATATAGATATTGGGTTGGTTTTCCCCCCTCCTACCCCACTATTATGCTTGTCTGTCGTTCATCTCTCAGTAATTCCACTCAGATACAATTCGATTCATCAAACATGAAAAGAAAAGCTACAGCTTCCTTGCGGTCCATTTCAGAACACTTGTGCCCATCGTTGTTGGCTCCCTGTTCACCCGCCCGCCCCCAAACTGTTGGTCTGGCCACTTTAAGACTGCCTATCCTGCATTTCTTGTTTAGATAAACACCAAAAACCCAAACCTAAATAATAATAAAATAAAATATTTTAAAAACTAAAAAATCCCACAAAACAACAACAGCAATATGCAGATAGCCACAAGTCTAACAGGGATCATGACAGGGAACCTCGTTTGTATGCAAACGGTGAGTTTCCCATAAGCCCACACGTTGCTATTCCCACAGTCCAGGATGGAGCGGTCTCGTGCCCCTCCCACCTCCCCCACCCGATTTACACTTTAGACTTTCAGTGTGGTCCCCTTGTGAGTAACCCCCAACCAGTTCAGGTATGGTGCCAAGTGCTGAACACACCCTCGCCCCTCCACTCCAAGTCAGAGGTCTATGACCGGGCTTTCTCGGGTACTGCTCTGTTGTACTCTCCTCTGGTTTGTCCCCATGCGGGTGGGTTAGACTGGCTGCT